GACCTCTCCAACGTCCTGCCGGGACTCTGATTTGACCCCAAGTCAGCTCATATTCTTTGTCCGACTTTGCAGTCTCGGCTGTTGTCGCTTTGAGCAGCCCCACGCATGGCCCCGGCCTCAAATCCCTTTCTCATTTGGTCGTCAAAGCCACACTCGCTGTTGGTACCAATTGTGTGGCCAACCGAAATCCCACCGCTTCTCTCCGGCCGCGTCACAGTCTATAATTGGGTTGAAAATGCCATCTCCACCTCCACAACCAGGTCATGCGTATCTGCACAAAATGCAACCAAAAATGCTGGAAGATGTCATGTTTTAGCTTTTGGTGGAAGGAGGCTTGTCTTGCCGTTGCCATCGTTGCAGAGACGCAAGTTTGCTGAGTCCTCGGTTCGTGTCATCCCACTTGACGGAGTTCGGTGGAGGGTTTTGTGCGGGAGGCAGACGGTGACAACAAGAAGGCACGAATCCGTTTCATTCGACTCTTCATCCCAACTCAAAAGATCCAACAAATCAGATTATTGCGAGTTATTGCTTCTCTTTCGCGCTATTTCAGGCCTTCCTTGGCCACTTCACGGCTCGGGTGTTTCGGCAATCATGTCTTTTTATCATCTCATTTGGCTCCTTCCAAAAGAATGTTCCATTTCAAGAGATGTTTTCACACGAGTTCACTTAACCTCGCCTCCAAATGCGTATTCTCATTTCACTTCGGACTGGACGACAATTTGCTCTGCAGCCTTCCCAATGCAAATGGAATCCGATTAGTGCAGCTTTTATTCTCCACATTTTGCAATTGTACTATGCAGCCACATGTGCCAAGGAGCCCGGGGCAAGCCGTGCCTGTTGCGGATCACATTTTTGTCGTATTTTCTTATAAACAAGACTGTACTACTTATAATCATATTAATATAGACTATGATACTACTGGTAGCCATCCTGGAACAACTGGATCGGACTTGAAACCCAGAAGGATGACGTTTGGTGCGTCTATGCGGTGGTGGAATGGTGATGATGACGATGGATGGTTTGTGTGTGTGTGTGATTCGGGCCCGAACTCATCTGGGCCAACGAGTTACTCGACACTTTTC